GGTCTTTCTGCGACTGCTACGTTTACTCCGAGGTGGAGCGGGTGTGGCAGATCGTCAAGGGCGACCTGGCCGGGTCGTTCGGCACGCACGGCGGAGCGAACTCCGCGCCTGTGCGGCGTGTCTTGACCGGGACGTCCGGGATCGGGAAGTCGGTGGCGGCCGGCGCCTACCTCCTCTACCAGCTGCTGCACTACGACGCAGAGCAACTCCCCACGGTTGCGTACTTCGTTGCGGACACAGCTTTCCTGTTTGACAAGGCCACCAAAACGATGTCGTCTTTCCCCTATTCACCCCCAGCGATTGAAAGTTTTCTGGAGGTCGCCACACGCACGAGGGGGTATATTATCTGCGACGTGATGTGGGGAAAACAGCAGACGTTGTCCGTCAAACTGCCCCCCGCCGGCTGGGGCATGCTCGTCGTGCTGCCCCCAGGAGAAGCTCGTTTCAGGGAGTGGGAGGATGAAATGGGCGCCCGCCGCATCGTCATGGACTGCCCTGACGAGAGCGATGTGACAGCGATGTGTACTTGGTTGGTGCGCGAATGCCCTGCGGAGGAGAAAGCGGAGTACTGGGAGGACTTCCAAAAGGGCATGGCTCTTCTGGGCCCAATTCAGCGCAACGTGTTACGCGGATACTGGCATGAGCTTGCGAGTCGCCTGCAGGGGGCGATGGAGCGGCTCTCGACATGGGCCGTCAATTGCTACGTCGGGCTGGACAAAACGAATTTGTGGCGTTGCCGCGTTCCGACGGAAGATTTCTCGAAGATGGTCCGGGTGGTGACGGGGCGGGGGACGGAGTGCTTCCAGAACGCCCCGGCTTCTGCTGCGGTCAGGGCCGACGTGTTGGTGCGCGTGGCGAGGGCGATGCGGACGCGCGCCGGCTTCATGACGGTGCTGATGCCCCATCATGTGCTGCTGCCGTCCGCCGTGTGGGTGCACGCAGTCGGCGCGTTCATGTACCCGGGCTTTGTGGGCAGGATGCGGCGCAAGCTGCGCGAGCTGCGGTCCCCGACGGGACGCGAGCCACGCCCCTGCCTGCTGCAAACTAACCCGCGGCTGCGCCCCACCGACGCGGTCGCACTGCGGCCGAAGGTGCTCCACCCCGGGAAGGTGGACGCAAACTACCGGGTGCTGTACGTGCCGGGGGTCGAAAACTTTCCCCTCATGGACGCCTTTTTCTTCGTTGCGGCGCCGCGGAGGACGATGGTTGGACTGCAGACGACCACGGCGAAGGCGCGCCGCGTTGCAACCGACACGGTGAGGCAGTTCAACGAGCAGCTGGCGGAGTTTTTTGAGGGCTGGAAAAAGTTTGCCCGGGGTTTGTCGTGGGAGATTATTTACGTGCAGCGTGCAGATAGCGTGACGATAAACGCGTGGCAGGAGTGCAAGAATGCGGGCGACAGGGCCAGTGCGGAAGATAAATGGCACAGGACCTTTTGGGACAACGAGGTGCGCCAGTACCACATGGCTATATCGCACGAAGACGCAATTGCTGTGTGTAGTGCGTGAAGCGGCTTCATGTTTTCCCTTTGGCCTCTCTTGTGGCGCCTCACTTCCACGAGCACCGCGGCGCGGCGCGGCTCGGTGGCGGGCCCGGCGGAGGGGGCAGCACCGCTTTTTGTTTTGATTTTTCTTTGCATTTTTACGCTGCGCCCCACTCCTGCTGCATTGCGCCGAGGGAACTGGGGCCGGCGCTGGGCGATTGGTGGGGAGGGACCGCGACGGGAGTTCCTACGAACATGCGCTTTGCGTGTCGCCGCAGTCGTGGGGTTTAAAAAAATGGGAGGGAGGTGCGGGGGGAGGCGGCGCTTGACTTGTGCTTGTGGGTTTTGTTTTTGTGTTTCGAGTTCTGTGGGGCGGCGCCACAAAGCTGCGGGCCCTCCGCGTGCGTGTTTCCTTCTCGCCCTACCCTCTTCCCCCACCCTTCTCTTTTATTTTTCTATTTTTCTGCCCCTCGCTAGACTCCGTGCGTGCGTGTGCTGCGGTGGGAGAGTGTGGCGATGGCTGGCCGTGCGCTGCTGTTGGTGT